TAAGTTTTAATCACGATAGAAAAAAAAATTATTTGTTTGAGCCTCATTTTTTTTAAAAAAAATAAATTTTACAATATTGATTTTTTTGAGAAAATAAATGGTTAAAAAGTAGTATTTTTTTTTTATCTTTTAATTATTTACAAATAATCTGTCTCCTTGAAAAAGAATCTTGACAAAAAATGATTTTTAGATAATGGCATAATCTATATGCGCTGAATTTCAGAGTAGTTTCACCGATTTCCATCTATTCACGCCTCCTTTTAGTGTTTGGCTATAGGTTGATTCTATTCGTTATTGATTCTTGACCATGACAAATCCTGGAAAGAAGGTGTTGCTGACCTCTAATGGCGATGAAATTTCGCTCAATATTGCGCGTCATTTAGCTCAGCGCGGTTGCCGGTAAATTCTTCTTGTAATTCTTGCTTTATGTGTTCACAGTTAAATGCATAAAGTTTGGTTTGATTGTTGATTTTATGTGCGTGTAATTTGAGGTTGGTGTTAATGGGGAATGAGGGGCAATTGAGGAGTGAAGCTGAGAAGTTAAAGAAATCTCTAGACTGCGGCCTAACGCTTGAGGTGGTGGATTTAGATATGGAAGAGGATAGAGAGGCGGTTTTTGATGAAGCGGTGGAAAAAGCCTGGAGGATTTTGGGGAATTTGGATGCTTTGATCAACTGTTATTTCTACGAAGGTAAAAGACAATTTTTTTTTACTGAATTGTGAAAGAGGGAGTATCATCAAATATTATATGTTTGTAGGTTCCATTATTCAATACACTGTTTTGATCTGTCATTTGATTATTCAGCCTGGCTCGAATTTATATAATTATTAGTTAAACAAATTCTTTTGCCTATGTTGTGTATCTCTGTATGACTGAGAGAAATCTTCATGAATGCTTATAGAGGTTTAATTGTTTTGGATGGAATTGTGGGTGTCGATTATAATTGTAAATGTAATTCTGGTTATGTTGTGCTCTGTAATTTTCTCTGGTTTCTATTTCTTCAGTTAGTTCCCTCGTATTTATTACCTCTTTTTATTTGGAAAATCTATAACCACAACAATCTGTAGCTACGGTAATGCAGTGGTGTTTGACAAATGAATTTTGAACTAATCCTGCTGATTTTGATTGATTTGTTTTCGTATTCTCAATGTATATTCAGGCCGACCAAATTGGACCGATTTCCAGACAACAAAAGAAGCTTAAAAAAGAATACAACTTGTGTGCTTAACTTAAATTGTGAAAAATATTGCCCGAGCTGATGAACCATACTGCCTACTTCCTTTTTGACGGTCATAGAACAATTCTCATCCTCTTAAAAAGTAACATATCATGGGTTCGACTTAATCTCACCTGATTTTGAATTTCGTAAGTTTCTATATTCCTTATCATTAAGGTATTGTTGTTCCCCTTATATTCTGAACTTCTGGTCCTCTGATGCCAGAACCCTTGTTAACTTATATAATCTTGTCAAATCCCGAGGCTTCAGCAGCTGGCCATTTGCAGCTTTCTTTGGCCCCATAGTTATATGAAATTGTAACTGTAGTTCTGAATTGCACTGTGGTATCCTTGCCAATTCTTTGTATTTGCAGCTTTCTTTGGCCCCATAGGCCATAGTTATATGATATTGTAACTGTAGTTCTGAATTGCACTGTGGTATCCTTGCCAAGTCTTTGTCTACCATTATTTCAAAACTCATTTTTTCTCAAACTCATTTTGAACCACACATTCTTACAATAAAATATTTTGCACATAAATTCAAAACTTTTTCTTACTTTTTAACCGTACATTTCCAAAAAATTCACTATTCCAAAACTCATTTTCCTGCTTTAATGGTAGACAAACAGGGGCTTAGATTCTCAAGTGTTCAAAGAAGCTGTTTATAGATATTTGATACCTGCACTGGATAATGGTGTTCAACGGTGTACGACATCAAATTCTACTTGGACTGAATGTGAATTCAATAATCCTAGACTCATTACTTGGAGCACAAGGCTCTCATGATTAAATACACGACTTGTTGCTCAACAATGTTCTACTCGTATTTACCTCTATATGCTGCTTATGGGAGCTGCTGTGTGGTGGAAAGTGAGCAGAGCATTACCTCTAATTTTGTGAAACAGGGAAAATTGTAAATCCTCTGTGTTTAGTTGAAGACGAGTTCAAAAAGATTGTTAAAATCAATTTCATGGGGGCATGGTATCTTTTGAAAGCTGTTGGTCGAAGAATGCAAGATCAGACATCTGGGGGATCCATTGTATTTTTAACCTCAATACTTGGTGCTGAAAGAGGGATATTTCCAGGAGCTGCAGCATATGGTTCATGTTTGGCTGGAGTACAGCAGCTAGTAAGGGTGAGTGAAATGATTTTTTTATCTATATATTTTTCTGTTATGATGTTTACCTGTATGATGGAAATTACTCAGTATCATTAGGTTGTACTTTGTACTTTAAGAGTTTATGTACTTGAAGCTAGAATTTTGAATTTATTTTTCCACACACCCCTACGTTACAATGTTTCTGAAATAGACGAATTTTTGTGGTTTTCCAGTTTCTTCTTCTTTAATAAATTTTGAAGAATATTACAATAGATGACCAAAAATGCAATTTTCTGTGTGAGCTTCTGTTGGTTAACTTTATAGCATGATGTTTTTGTCATTCGTTTGGATATATCACGAGACAAAACGCTGACAACTTACTCCAAGAAATCACGTGGGGCTGTGACTGAAGCTTCTTATGAATCTAGAATTAATCTTAAAACAAGTCATCTAGATGAAATTCTGAATTTGCAAATGTGTAGTACTTATTAACTTTTTTTATTAGACGATCTGTTTAGATAAAGCCATGCCAATAGCTGCAAGTAAATAAGTCTTGTTTGAAAACGATCTTGTTAAGGTCATTATTGTATCTTGTTCCTAAATAAACAGCTGAATTAGCGGGAAACATTTCGTTCGTGTGATAGCCCATGGCCTAACAAGCATCTATTCCAGATACTTGATTGGAATAAACACAGTGAAAGCTGTTCAATTTTTTACCTCATGGTATGTACCTCAATTTAATTTTTGTGTTTTATTTAAATGTTCTGGTATTTGCAGACGGCTGCATTGGAGATAGGAAAGTATCAGATAAGGGTTAATGCAATTGCTCGTGGTTTGCATCTTAACGATGAGTTTCCTGTGTCAGTGGGGAAGGAGAGGGCAGAGAAAATGGTCGAGGAAGCAGCACCATTGCATCGATGGCTTGATGTTGAAAAAGATCTGGCATCGACTGTCATTTACTTAATCAGCAACAGCTCACGATATCTGACAGGGACTACCATATATGTTGATGGTGCACAATCTCTGGTGAGGCCTCGAATGCGATCATACATGTGATGTGCGCATAGAGACTACGCTACTAAGATAATTCTTGTATTGATTCGTGAAAGTAGGTACACATCAAAGTTGCAACTTGTTAGAATTTCACAAGTCTAGTAATCAAATTTAAAGGGCCAGGAACTTATTTGGACCATGTTATTGTTTGATGTAAACATGGAGATGTTGTAAGGACCCAAGAATTCCCTTTGAATAAGTAAAACGTGCCGTAAAATAAAACCTAACTTTCATAAAAATATAACTTTTGTCCCAATTACAATAATTAAAAAATGAAGAATTACTAAATCATAAAAGTAAATAAATTATTCAATAATATCTTTATTATACCACTAGTAGCCAGTTTTAAACTCGAACACCTTGAACCTCAATTATCTAAAAGGGAGAAAAGCATAAATCGTAATTCATATTTAAAATTTAGCAATTTTTAATGTAAAGAGACACAAAAATTAGAAACTAAACTTAGATAACATAATTTATGTACATAATCACAACATACATAGGGATAAACGAGAATTAAGAACTATACTTCATCTCTATAATTCTGATTCGTAGCGTTACTGAGCTTTGTTTCCTTGAACTTGTGTTACTGAGCTCTGGTTCCTTGAACTTACACATATGAGATCCATATCATATTCATAAATTGAATTTCATCTTTTAAATTATTAAAGGAGATTCAACAAAAAGTATGACTATATTTACCTTGATAATTAGAAGAGAAACATAGTAAATAAGTATAGGAGAATTTAATTTCCTCAACAAAGTAATAATTTGTGTGTATTTGTGGTTGTGGAATTTAGGTGCGGTATTTATAGATGTATTTAGAGGTACTAAAAGGAAACTAAGATAAGGTGTCCCCATAATTGTTCATTAAATAAGGTAATGAATTATACTAATTATATAATTTAAATCAAACAATCATAATTAGATATAATTATACATATATGGATGCATGCAATTATACTAAATAATTTAAAATTAATAAATTATAATTATATATAATTATACGTATATAGACACGTAATTATAGTAATATTATAATTTAATACAATCACTCATACTTATATATAATTATGCATATATGGACATATGTAATACTAGTAATACTATGTCCCAATTTGGCCTCCATTATTTCCCACTAAATTATAATTCATTTTTCACTCTCTTCTTATCAACCATATATTCTCCAATAAAATAATATTACACGTAAATCCAAAAACTTTTCCTTTTTTTAACCACACATTCCCCAAAAAATTACTATTCTTCACATTATAATGTGGAATAATGAAGGCTAAATGAGCACTATATTTGAAATCAACCAACCATAATTATATATAATTATAAATAAATAGACTTACGTAATTGTAGTAATTATATAATTTAACTCAATCAATCATAATTATATATACACGACGCACATAATTATAGTAATAACTCAATCAATTATAATTATATATAATTGTACACATATAGACGGACACAATTATAGTAATAATATAATTAAATCAATCAATCACTATTATATACGATTATATATATTATACATTCAGACACGCGCGAAATGTAGGAATTCTTGAATTAGAATTTCTAAAATTGATTTTTCTTAAAAGTTTTTGAACATAAAGTTTTCAAAGGTGAGATTTTTCTTAAGTTTGGAATCAGATTGTAATGTTGCTTTCATTTTATTGGTCAGAATATTGCTCAATTGAGTGACTTCCAAGTAAGTAGGGAAAAAAAAAA